AAGAAATCCAGAAACCCCAGGCTGGCTTTGAAACCCATGGTTTGAAAACCATGATCCCCTGGGTCTGTGATCCGCACATCTCAGCCTCCTGAGCAGCTAGGATTACAGGCGTGAGCCACCAGCGCCTGACTACACTGATCATTTTTGAGGCTTGGTCTGGGCTCCTGCCCAAACCCTCACCTGGACCACGATCCATTTATCTTCAGGCCGAGATGACAGCAGTCATGCATCACCAGCTCAGCTTCTTCATTTGAGATGGAAATGCTCAGATTTTTTGGACGAGGCTAGCCTGGAACTGCAATCCTGAGTTCATCTTCCCAAATATAGCTAAGATTATAGTGGTGAATCACCTCACCCGGCCTGCCCCCTGGAGAGGGACATTGAAGATCCTGGAGAGGGCCTGGGAAGGTGGCTCAGTGGTAGAGTGCTTGCCTCGCATGTATGAGGCCCTGGGTTCAATTCCTCAGTACCGCATAAGCAGAAAAAGCCAGAAGTGGTTGTGTGATTCAAGTGGAGGAGTGCTCACCTTGAGCTCAAGAGCCGAGGGACCGCGCCCAGACCCAGAGTTCAGGCCCCACGACCGACAAAACAAAAATAAAATTTTAAAAAGGTCCTGGAGATAAAACCCCAAAACCCTGTCCACTCAGCCACAAAGGGAGGCAACCAGAGAAAGGGAGAAAAACCTGCCTGAGGCTCATACCTGCCATCCGTGTCTTTGTAGCTACTCAGGAGGCTGAGATCTGAGGATTGAACTTTGAAGCCAAGCCAGGCAGGGAAGTCTGTGAGACTCTCCAATTAATGACCAAAAAGAAAAAAAAAAAGCCAGGAGAGGAGCTGAGGCTCAAGTGGTAGAATACCAGCCCTTGATGGAAAAGCTCAAGCCCTGAGTTTATACCCCAGTACTGGTGCGCACACACATGCACATACTCACTCTGATGGCTGAGGTGGAGACTGAGCAGAGATGTGGGTCCTGAGGCCGGGCTGAGACAAGCAGAGCCCACAACACTTCACGATCCTGGACTTTTTGTTTTTGTTTGTCGATCATGGGGCTTGAACTCTGTGCCTGGGCGCTGTCCCTCAGCTCTTCAGATCAATGCTAACGTTCTACCACTTGAGCCACAGCCGCCACTTTCGGTTTTCTGGTGGTTCATTGGAGATAAGAGTCTCACGGACTTTCCTGCCCGGGCTGGCTTCAAACCACAATCCTCAGATCTCAGCCTCCTGAGTAGCTAGGATGACAGGCGTGAGCCACTGGTGCCTGGCTCCTCTTCTTGCCTTTAGTGCCATAAGACCAGGCTAAGGTAAAAACTGCAGTAAGCAAATTTAATGGAGACTCCATGTTCCAAAGCCCCAAAGTGCTTATCAAACGCCTACTGACTGCATGCTTCTTAGTTCCCATGCTACAGAAGGGAACATGGGTACCCTGACAATCTGGAACACCTGCCCCAGCCGAGGGGAAGAGGTAGAGCTACACTTGAGCACTTCACTGTAGCCCTCTTGGCCTCCTGGGTCTCAATAAGGTGTGAGTGAGAAGACAGGCTGATGGGCGAGAGAAGAATGGAAAATGGATGGATGAATGGACGATCAGTAGGTAAATGGGTGAATGGTGGGTGGCTGAATGGATGGGTGGATGGATGGATGGATGAGTGGATGGCTGGTGGGTGGGTGATGAAATGATGGATGAGTAGGTGGATGGATGGGTGGATGGATGGGTGGGTGATGGATGATGGTTGGGTGTATGGATGGATGGATGATCGATGAGTAGATGGATGGATGGTGGGTGGGTGATGAATGGGTGGATGGATGATGGATGGATGGGTGTATGGATGGGTGGGTGATGGATGATGGTTGGGTGTATGTATGGCTGGATGGTTGATGGGTAGATGGATGAGTGGATGGATGGTGGATGGGTAGGTGATGGATGGGTGAGTGGATGGCTGGTGGGTGAGTGATGAATGGGTGGATGGATGATGGATGGGTGGATGGATGGGTGGGTGATGGATGATGGGTGAGTGTATGGATGGATGGATGATTGATGGGTAGATGGATGAGTGGATGGATGGTGGATGGGTAGGTGATGGATGGGTGAGTGGATGGCTGGTGGGTGAGTGATGAATGGGTGGGTGGATGGGTGGGTGATGGATGATGGGTGAGTGTATGTATGTATGGACGATGGATGGATGGGTGGATGGCTGGTGGGTGTGTGCTGAATGATGGATGGGTGATGGATGGATGCATGATGGTGGGGTGGATGGCAGGCTGGCTGGTGTATGGATGGATGGATGGATGGAGAAGTCTACCATAGGTGGTTGGATGGGTGTGTGGATGTGTAGGTGGGTGGCTGGGCAGAGCATGGGTGGGTGGATAACAGAAGAACGAATGAGAGGTGGTCATGAGTCATCGCATAAAGGAAGGGATACTTAGCTGGTGGACAGGAGGATAGAGCTGGCAAGGTGGGTGATGGGTGGACGGACAGTAAGTAGCTGAGGGATGGACGGCAGATGGGTCTCCCCACGGCTGGAGGCCCAGTCGGTGCAGAGCGAGTGGGTAGGGTGGGAGGGCCGATAGAGATATAGGCGGAGGGTAATGGACGGTGGAGAGTATGGATCTCATCCGCAGTTGATTCTGAGTCCTAGAATTAAGACTTCAGAATGACTTCGTCCTACCCACTGATTGCTGCTCCCGCTGCCCTGCGACTCACTCCTCCTGGATCAAGCCTGACTGGGAAGCGGTGGGTTAGGATGAGAGGGGCTCAGGGGCGTGACCGATGGGGGCGTGGCTCAAGAAGGGCGTGGTTCTCTGGGGCGTGGCCCATGCAATGGGTGTGGTTCACGGAGGGTGTGGCCCATGAGATGGGCGTGGCTAGTGAGAGGGCGTGTTTGAGGAGGGCGTGGCCATGGCAGGGCGGGGCTCGTGAGAAGGGTGTGGTTCGTGGCGGGCGTGGCCTGGGAGGGGCGTGGTTCGTGGAGGGCGTGGCCCGGGAGAGGGGCGTGGCTTGGTGGAGTGAATGGCTCGAGACAGGGGTGTGGCTCTGGAGGGCGTGGTCTCTGGCCTGGTTATGCGCTGCAGTGGGCGTGGCCGGTGGGGGCGGGGCTCCCGGGGGCGGGAGAACTGGACAGTAAGGGCTTGGACAGAACGGTAGGGGAGGGGAGGGAGTGGCTCATGCAGGATGGGTTCCCCACACACACACTTGAGAACTCCCCATAGCAGCTCAGTGACAGAAGGGGCGGCCAGCAAGACCCCCAGACCTGTCAGCAGAGAATTCATGGCAGATCGGTGCGGACAGAGTCCGGGCCAGGCAGCAGCCAGGCTGGAAGGTTGGGGTCCGCTTCCCTGGCCGCACCCCCTCCTGCCAAAGCCTCACAGCGCTGGGCCTGAGCCTTCCGAGGCTGGAGGAGCTGAGGAAGGGAATGGAGGCCCCATCCAGACAGGCTTGGGTCTCAGGTCCAGGGAGGACGTTGGTCTGCCCAGGCTGGGTATGGTGGGGCTCCAGGAAGTGGAAGGTGAGCTTCCCTTCCCTGGGGTCCTGGCCTCCCAAGAGGCCCAGCCATGGCTGGGTTGACTGTTGACCACAGTCTGTTGTTCCTGGGGGTCAGAATTCTGATCTCCACATCGTTGAAGAGGAGGAACCGATCTGAGGCTCAGAGAGGGCGAACCACCTTCCCAGCACCACACAGCATCCCACAAAAAAGTTCTTGAGCCAGGTGCTGGTGGCTCCCACCAATAATGCTAGCTACTCAGGAGGCTGAGATCTGAGAATCAGGGTTCAAAGCCACCTGGGGCAGGAAAGTCCATGAGACTCTTATCTTCAATAAACCAGCCAAAAGCCAGAAGTGGAGCTGTGACTCAAGTGATAGAGCAACAGTCTTGAGTGAAAAAGCTCAGGGACAGAACCAAAGAGGTGGGGGTGGGGAGGAGGCGGAGAGGAGAAGGAGAGAAGGAGAGAGGGGGAAGGGAGAAAGGAGGAGGGGGAGAAAGGGAGAGAGAATTGATTTCTCAGCCAAAGCCAGGAAAGAATGCACCTTCCCAGCTACCATAGGAGGTGACCTCCAAACGGCACAGGCGTGACCTTGAAAATGCTCCCCTATCCCAATCCCAGTCCTGCCTTGGGGCGCCCCACTGTCCAGCCCCCCCCTTCTGTATGGAGAGTTACTTGGCGTTTCCTCCGCCCCCTGGTGGACGATGTCGGAACTGCACCCAGTATGAATAAGCCATTGGGGAACCTGAACCCCAACCCACGCCCCACAGCCCGCCCTCCTCGAGGTCCAGGGCAAAGGTTAGGGCGCGGAAGCGTGAGAAATAGGGAACAGAAGCCTGACAGGAGAAAGTCGCCTATCTTGGGACGCGGGGGCACGGGAGGGTCACGTGTCCCCCAGCAATGGGGGGGGGACGCGAGGGCCCCAGGATTTCCCGGGAGACCGGGATCAAAGTTCAAGACTCGGGGAACACAATCAAGATCACAGCCGAGTGTTATCACCAGGGCTGCGGAAGCCTCCGTCACCCCCCCCCCCGCCCCGCCCAGCGCTTTGTCGGTTGTGGGGCTTGAACTCGGGGCCTGGGCGCTGTCCCTGAGCTCTTCAGCTCAAGGCGAGCGCTCTACCTCTTGAGCCACAGCGCCAGTTTTCTGGTGGTTTAATGGAGATAAGAGACTCACGAAATTTTCTGCCCAGGCTAGCTTTGAACTGTGATCCTCTAGATCTCAGCCTCCTGAGTAGCTAGGATGACAGGCGTGAGCCACAAGCTTATACTAGCTATTCTTTTTGAGGGGCTTTGGTACTCAGGGTGCCCAGAGAAGGCCGGTTCTGGTCAATGGAAACCAGGCTGTGTGTGGGGAGGGGGGGGTGATGAGACATCTGGTAGAAACAAGTGAGGAGTCATGAACTTGCAGGACTGGAAGTTTCCCCTTGGGCAGAGGCACTGAGGGTCTGAGTAGAAAAGGCCTCGTGAGCAGGACCGAGGTGGGGAAGGGGGACCCCACACCACCACATGAGTCCCCCAAAGACCTCTCCTTAGACACTGTATTTAGAAGCCCAGGCCCAGGGTGCTGCTTACAGGGCACAGAGGAGGCGTGGACGGGCGCCTGCGTGGACAGGCAGCGAGTGTCTTCACAAGACTGTCTTCTTCTCTTTCTCCGCTTCTGGAGGCTCTATCTCCTCCAGCTCCAATCCTAAGTTGCTCTCGCCTTTCTTCTGGGCCTTTTTCTCCTCTCGCCTCTCCTTCTTGTCTTCTTGACTGTAGGGTACAGAGACAGCAGATCTCATAAGAAACAAGCCCTTACACTTAATGGCTGTCTTGGGAGGAGCGCCGCTGTGCTCCCCAGCCCTGGTCATGGTGCCACCTTGCAGGGTAAAGCAGAAGGATCCCTGGCCCATTGCATGGATGGTTGGATGATGGATGTGTGGATGGATGGATGGATGGATGGGTGGGTAGATGGATAGATGGGTGGATGTGTGTGTGTGTGTGTGTGTGTGTGTGTGTGTGTGTGTATGGATAAATGGGTGGATGGGTAGGTGGATGAATGGTGGAGGGATAGGTGGGTGGATGGGTAGATGGATGAATGGATGGTTAATAAATGGTTGGATGGATGGTGGATGGGCAGATGGATGGATGGGTAGGTGGGTGGATGGATGGTGAATGGGGAGTTGGATGGATGGATGGGTGATGGATGGGTGGTTAGGTGGGTGGATGGATGGTGAATGGATGGATGGATGGATTGGTGTGTGGGTGTGTGGATGGATGAATGGGTAGATGGATGGTGGGTGGATGGGTGGGTGTATGAGTGGGTGGATGGGTAGATGGATGGATGAATGGTGGAAGGATGGGTGGGTGGAAGGGTAGATGGATGTGTGGGTGGATGGTGGGTGGATGGGTAGACAGATGTGTGGGTGGATGGTGGTGGATGGATGATGGATGGGTGGGTGGGTGGGTGGGTAGAGAACAGAATGATGGGAGTGGAGGAATTGGCCAGGCTGGGGGAAAGCTCAGGAGAACGGGAGAGTCAAGATCCTTTCCTGCCTCCTGAGGATCAGAATCCCGTTCACCAGATGGAGTCAGGTCACAGACAGGGCGAACACTTGGGTCCGTACTTCTCCCCTAAAGCCATCGTGGCTCAGCTGAGCCCCTCAGTCAGCCTGGCCTGGCCAGCTGCCCCAAGCCTCGGCTCACTGGACTCTTCCCCCTCCCAGTCCCCAGCCCCCTCTCCAAACTGTCATGACCAGAAGCTAGAGCTCCTGAAGAGACCCGACCCATGCCTGGAGGTCCCACTGCACCAATGCCACAGACTTGTCCACACCAATTCTGTGTCTGCAGCATACCAGGCCCTGAGCTGTGTATGACAGACAAGGTCAAAGGTGAGTTCCTGCCCTCCAGGAGCTGCTGTCTATGTCATGATTCGTGGTGATTTGGTGAGGGGCAGACAAGAGGTAGGACCAGGGCACACACAAGGAAGGTTGCTGGTCATAAGGAGCCTCTTAGAGGTCAAACTCCTGAGCAGGGAGTGAAGGGAAACGAGTTCTTTTGAGAGGGAAGAGTATGTGCAAAGGTCCGGGGTCAGGAATTTGCTGAGGTATTGAAGGGAGGAAAGGTCATCTGTGCACACCTGCCCCCCACCCCAGGAGGGGCTCACCCCAACAGTACCTCAGATCTGGGTTCTGCCTGGATTCTGCTCTCATAACCTGCTCCTCTTCATCCCCAGCTCTGCAGAGATGGAGACCAGGGTGTGAGTCTGGGGGAGGAGCTGGAGGTGGGCATGGCCTCTGCCTTGGTTTCCCAGCAAGCACAGGAGGGCATGGGGCTCCCTGGCTGCCTGGGCAGGGACAGGCAGAGTCGGGGTTGGGTCCAAGGAGGAACAGGTAAATGGGGTGAGCCAGAGACTGAAGGGAGAAGGGATTGGATATGATGAGAGGCAAAGGCAGCATTTGGACAGAGCCGCCACCAGGAGCGGGGGAGGGGGAGGCTTTAGGCACAGGAGTGGGGTCTGGGGGGGTTCCCAACCTGGTTTTGGAGCACCAGAAGCGGTTGGCCAACATGAGCACGAAGACGATGAACAGAAACCCCACTACGGCAGCCAGCCCCGTGAGCCATGGCTTCAAGCGTCGCTCTGTGGCTGCGGGGAAAGGGGGAGCGGGGAGGGAATTCAGAGACTGAAGAGGACAGGGGCGGTGGGGCAGGGGTGCTCAGGAGGGGGGGCCCGGGCGCTGGCAGGGTGGGGTCTTACGGAGGAGGGGGCTAGGGCTCAGAGAGGGCTGGGGCTGGGGAATCTCGGAAAGAACCGGGGTGGTGGGTGAGGAAGGGGCTCAGGGGGCTCCATGAGGGGGTATGTAGAGGAGACAGGGATTGTGAGTCAGGGCGAAGGGAGGAGGCCTGGGAGGAGGGAGAGCTCCGACCTGAGAGGGGGGAGCAGGCGACCTGGGTGGGAGGCTGTGTGAAGGCCTCAGTTTCCCCTCATGGGAAATGAGATGGACAGTTCAAGGCCGACCCTACCCCTTGACCCGAGTCCTACCCTGCTGGGCGTCGGCAGGCGACAGGAGGAGAGTGCCCAGGACGAGGAGTGTCGCCAGGGTGCGCATGGCGGTCCCGAGAGTCAGCGTCCAGATCGGCGTCCACCTGCAGAGAGCTGCCCCTGGCCCGGCCTGGACACGGTGGGGGCGTGGCCTGGGCGTGGCCAGCTCGGGGCGGGGCCTAGCGAAGGCTGCTCTGGAGGCGGAGGGTGTGGCCTGGACGTGGCAGGGCCCCCGAGTGGAAAGGGGCGGGGCGCGGGGTGGCCCGGGCACCACGGGGGCGGGGCCTGAGGAGGCCCAGCAGAACTGAGGTGGGAGGGGCCTCGCGCAGGTTGGCCTGCCTGTATACGGCGGGGGCGGGGCTTTGGGGGCGGGGACAGCCACGGGGGTGTGGCCTGGGGCGGGGCGGGGCCTCCCTGGTTGCCCCGGACCTTCTGCCCTTGGCCGATCCAGGGTCCTGTGCATGTCGCTCCCATGGGGAGGGCAGAGTCTATTCCTGGTATAACTTTAACTCAGGGTGTCATCTTTCCCTGCACTCCGCCCTGGGGACCAGCAACCTCAAGGCCCAGGCCCTTCTGCCTGGTGCAGACGGAGATGAACTTAGTTCTCACTCCTCCTCCTCTTCCCCCCCCCCAAACCAAAGCACTGGGCCCCCACGGCCCCTCTGGCCCTGCGTGGGCACGCAGGTGTGATCTGACACGTACGGCCCGCATAGTCCCCTCTGCGGCCTTGCACGGAGCCTCCGCCGGGCTCAGTGATTTTACACACACTAGCTGTTTCTCTGGGCGCCCCCCCCCCCCACAGACATCTGGCCAACGCTTGTCTTGCACACTCAGAGTCAGAGGCGGGACACAGACCCCCGTCTGCCGCCCGCACCAGCCCGTGTGCACAGAGGCGGGCGGAGGCCAGGTGCCCCACACCGTCTCCACATCTGGATGCCCCACTGTGGCTGAGGAACGGGGTGCCAGGGGCGCCCGTCTTCCTTCCTGTCCTGCCCTTAACCTTGGTCCTTCACGTTGATCAGATAGGGAGCCCTGCCTGGGCAAAGGGGCAAGGCCCCACCCCGGCCGCCACGGCACAGGCCCGTGACAGAAGGGCTCAGGTGTTTATGAAGCACCTGCTGCCATACCCAGGGGGTTCCGGGTTCCAGCCACGGGCACATGCCGCTCAGCAGAATCAGGACAAGCTGCGGGCCTCGATTCAACCCGCCATGCAGCTACCTATTAAGCACCTCATGTGTAATCTCTCAGCCTGGTTGGGGAATCAGGATTCCAAGGCGCACTCCAAAGCTGAGATGGGGGTCAGAGGTCATTTGGAGATTGGGGGAGGGGCACACTGCAGGGTGAGCAAGGGCAAGGCCCATGTGGGAGCCTCTGCCTTCCAAAGTAAGCCACCCTGGGCAAGGGCCATGCCCCAAGTGGTAGAACACCGCTTGGCAAACACGCCTGAGGCGCTGAGTTCAAACGTCAGTGCGGCTAAAGGAGAGCATCCTGCTGGGCTGTCAGTGACCCCTCCCTGCAGCTCTGAGACCGTGTCAGGATTGGAAAGTCAGTGTTTCCATCTGTTGAATGGAATCCTAAGCAATATGAAGGTGTGTGTGTGTGTGTGTGTGTGTGTGTGTGTGTGTGTGTGTGTGTGTGTTGGTACCGGGTAGGGTTTGAACTTGGCACCTGGTGCTGTCCCTTAGCTTTTTCCAACCAAGGCTAGCGATCTACCACTTGAGCCACAGCTCCACTTCCAGCTTTTTGCTGGCTAATTGGAGATGTTTCCCTAGACTTTTGTGCCCACACTGGCTTTGAACCGTGATCCGCAGATCTCAGCCTCTAGAGTAGCTAGGATGACAGGCGTGAGCCATGGCACCCAGCTTGGAGAAACTTGACATAGGGTGTAGACTTTGGTGAATATGGTCCAAGTAATTCTTTTAATCTCTTCTTAAAAAGTTTACAGATTGTCACTCACTTGGCTTTGGCTCCGTGTGGCGGGGGGCTACGGGGTGTGGGGTGGCGGGTACAGCCGGCCCCTAAGTATCCATTGAAAGTTTTGGTCCACTGAGTGAGCCCCATCCTCCTGGCAGCACAGGACTGGCCAGGCACCGGGTCCAGCCCAGCTCCCTGCCCAGCTCAGTGCAGCCTCCAGAATGAGCTCTGTACTTCGGGTTCCTTGAAGGTGATGGAGGGGCGGCGGGGATCCAGGGCAGGGCCTTCCGGTCGGACGCCTTCCCCACCCCCACCAGCCTCCTCCTCTCCTCGCCAGGCCAGGGCCAGCTGCAGGTCTAGCTCTTCCAGATCCTCACCCGCCAGGCTGGCACGCAGCTCCCGGGGGGCGTCCTCCTGGTCCGGCTTCGGACCAAAGGCCCAGTCTGTGCAAGGGCAACTTCTGAGGACCCCCTTCCCCACCCCCATCCATCCTATCCCCTCCCTAGCTAGGAGGGAACACCCCAACACCCCCAGGGCACCCCAGTCCAAGACAGATTGGCAGCAGGGAGCGGCTCACCAGCCAGGTCGTGGGCAAGGTCTTTGATGAGGTGGCCAACGATGGCGTAAGCCACTACCACCACCAAGAACGTGGCCATCATCAGGTACAGCACGTACCGGGGAAGCTGGATGGCGTCAAGCGGGGGAGGCCGGTACTCCTCATACAGCGGTGGCGCCAGGCTCCAGCCCTCCGCCTCCTCCTCGTCAGGCATGGCGATCCCCGGCAGCAGGAAAGGCCGGAGGTGACCGACACAACGGAAGTATTAAAGGGCTTTGGGCTAAGAGGATTGGTCGGCTCCCCCTTGGCCACCATCTGCCTGGATTAATCTCACTGAAAATCACTTCCGCCCACCAGCCTCCTCCTTCCCTTGGCTGCAGCTATACTAGACTTGACTGTCACCGTCCTGACCACAGGACCTTAGCACATGCAAGGTCCCCCCACCTTGAGATTTTCCCATGGCTGCCTCCTTTCATTCATTTGGTCACCTCCTATTAGTTGAGCATCTACAATGATTAGGCAGTCTCAGAGTCTGGAATAGATCTAGGACACACTGCCTGCCTTTGAAGAGTGGAGGCCCCAGTTGAAAAGCCAGGAAACAACCTTGAACAGTGTGGAGTCATGGGGAAAGGCCAATTCCAAGTAGGGAGCTAGCCAGGCACTGATGGCTCATGCCTGCAATCCCAGATCAGGAGGCTGAGAACTGAGGATCAAGGTTCAAAGCCAGCCCGGGCAGGAAAGTCTGTGAGACTCTTATCTCCAATAAACTACCTAGAAAAAGCTGGAAGTGACGCTGTGACCCAAGTGCTAGAGCACTAGCCTTGAGCACCAAGAGGCTCAGGGACAGTGCCCAGATCCTGAATTCAAGATCCAGGAGAAAAAAAAAAAGGTAGGAAGAGAGCTAGCTGGGAGTATCAGGAAGAAAAGCACCCAGAGGGCACAGACTGAGCCAAGGCCCTAGGGCAGAACCTAGCCTGGTGAGTTGCAGGGCCGTGGGAGGCCGGGAGGAAGGAGGAGGCAGGGAGGGGATGACTGGGTCACACAGCACCCTGGAGGTAACTCAGGGAGGTGGGACCCTTGTCTGCAGGCAAAGGGACTGGATGTGATGCTCACGGGTGCCCTCTGGTGGCCGCAGGGAGGGCTGGGCAAGGTCAGGGCCAAGGAGGGAGATCCAGGTGGGAGGAATTCTAAGAGGGAACTGGGATGCATTCAGTGTGAGCTGGTGGAATGGCAGGGTCTCTGTTACTGCTGTGGGCCTCTGGCGGCAGTAGAGCCAGTGGCCAGAAAGACCTGAGTTCAAATCCCAGCACTGACCCTGCTTTTTTTTTTTTTTTGCTGGTCCTGGGACTCTGTCCCTGGGATCATCTTCTGACTGTCTTGGTGGTTAATTGAAGATCTCACAGATTTTATTGCCTGGGCTGGCTTTGAACCAAGATCCTCAGATCTCAGCCTCCTGCGTAGTTGGGATTACAGGTGTGAACCACCAGTGAGCTCTCTTTCCTTCATTTCCTTCCTGCACAGGGTATCAGACACCCAGCTGGCCTCGTTCCCCTTGGACCACCACACCAAGCTTTTTTTCCTGTCCCATAACACCTCCAAACCCTGATTTCCAAGAAGTCCTGTTCCCAGGTACTGGGGGGTGGGGGATAGGATGAAGCATATGCTTTGGGGAGCACAGTTCAACCTAAGTGTTGTCGCTGCAATTGCTACTCTGGGCGGGGCTGCAGCAGGAGCACAGGGCAGATACAGAGGACAGGGAGGGACAGCTGAAAGATGCAACTGGAACTGAGGTCTTGGTCACCCTCCATGGGGCGCTGGAATCCCCGCAGGACTTGCAGGGGGCTGGCATCATCTTGCCCCCCAGGCCGCACCCACACAGGGACAAGCAAGGCAGTGACTTAGGGGTACAGATGAGTCCCACAGCCGGTGCTCTTCGCTGTACCACTGAACCTCTTTCTGAGTCTCCAGTGGGAGCTGGCTACCTCCGGTGAAGTTACGGGGAAAGGCAGAGGCACAGGTGGCAGGGGGTGGAAGGTCACCAGCCCCACGCCCGCGTGCGCGCATGCTCACACACACACAGGCTACTGTCACTTGGCAAAAATAATTTAATGTTGCATCGGGACGGGTCCTGTGGTCTGCTTTGCCCACAGGGGTGGGATGAGAGGCTGGCAGACTGTTACCTTGGCCCTTTCCAGCCTGGCCCAGGTCAGAGGCCTCTGCTGGTGGGGGTCGGGGGCGGGGCCTGGGCCGGGGGCGGGGCCGGCTAGGGCTGCGCGCGCAGGCGCTCCAGGCCGTCGGCG